AAATCTGAAAAGCGTTTTTGCATTTCCTGCAATACTTATGAGATTTAATTTATCATGGGGACTTAGTTCACGTCATCGATTTGAAAATAATTCATGTGTAATTTTATGAGAGCTAAATAAGTTGCTATTATTTTACAGAAAAGCCTTAAAATTTTTTTCTATTTATGGATAGTATAAAATGAGAAGAAGTTTTAGACAAGTTGGATGATAAAATTTGAAATTTGTATTGCTGGATAAGTTTTTATAAATTAAATAATTTAAATATTTTGTGAGGCATTCATTGTAAAACTATTAAATTCTATTGAGGGAATTTTTTTCTTGTGATTATCATTCCGAATATATTTTTTGTGATTAAATTAGTTTACAATATCTTTAAAATTGACTTGTATGTCTTCTATGATGTCCGTAAAGTTGAAAACTTGAAAAGTCAAGCAATTTATTTTAAATTCTATAAAATGTGAGTACGTCATGCTAGAGCTATGCATATAATTATTTATATTTAACACATTTAATTTCTAAATGGGATATTAAAAGGGTTTTATTAGGAAAAAAATTTTAAGGATTTCGGAAAGAAAATATTTTGTACAAATATTTGATGTTGTACATTAAACATATGCCAATCCATATAATGAGGACTAGAAAGAGATTTCTGCCTCGTGTTCATTAAATTCCCTATAATAATAAATCTGTATAATCACATATAAAATTTTGTCAAGGTTAGGTAGGAATATTCCTTTGTAATTTAAATATTTAAAATTGAATATTTGAAATTTTTAAATTAATTATGAATTTAAAACAAAAAAAAAAAGGTCGTATAGAAATATTTTATGTTCGCATATATTAAATCCGGAAGCTAATTACCCCTTTTACCGTGTAGGTAATCTAAGAAAGGAATTTTTATACAAAATTTCCTATTTATTTATTTTTTAATATTAAAGGTTTTAAACACTATGGCCAATGGGTATTACATATACGATATAAAAAATTTTAAAATTAAGAATGTTTGAGCTCACTAATTAATAATTACAGACGGTTGAATTAATATCACACGGTAATTTATGTTTGTTTAAATAAGAGAAATTTAGTTATGTATCTGAAATTTCGTTTAAATTCTGAGAGCATGTTAATCATAATCGTCATCTCCGAAAAAAAAGAGTCTTGAATATTAAGGCTTTCTAAAAAATATGTGAGTATTAAAATGATAATTAAATTTAAACCTTAATCTGGGGAAAGAATATTCAATCATACAACTGCAGAATAGATGAATGACGTAATCAAAGCAAGGAGTCAAAAAAATTTCCAAAATTTTTTTCCTCAAAACGAACTCGGACCAGTGACCTATACCGGTTTAACTGAAGTACAGAGATATGAAGTGCATCTTCAATTGAATATCAATTATAGATTAAATTTTTTGATTTATTGTTATATGGCCCCATATCAGGCGGCATTATAATTTTAATTTAAACAATTTCTATTCAAAAATTTGAACATATTTAAGCAAAACTTCGTTTTAAATGGAAAATTTTCGGTTATCGCTGTTCTTTTAGTAAATTCGATATTAAAGATATTTCAAATATTTTAAATAAAGTAATTTTTATTAACAGAAAAAAATGCACAAAAAGAAAAATTCATTTTTGTATCAACAAATAAAAAAAAAAATTTAAATTAAATTGTAAAAAAAAAATTCTGAATGTTATTTTTTTTTCATTCTTATATATACGTATACGTATATATGGAACAGAAGTCTGTTATACAATATGCAAATAAAAATAAAAATTAACACCGTAAAATAAATAACTGTGCGATTAACCGCATAAGTAACCTGAAAATAAAATTCGATTTTTGGTTTTTTTTTTATTATCGTTATTTTGGGTTCCATTCGATTTAAATTAAATTGGAATCCGCAAAAATTTTACCACACTTTAAAATAAATTAAAGAACAGAAAGAAGAAAAACAAAAATTGGGATTCAAAAGCCATCTTTTGCTGTTGGACTTTTCATATTATGTGCACTTTTATATTTGGAAATGATCATTTTTTTTTAATGGACTTGCAACTGGCATAGTAAATACAAAAGAGATAAGTAAGATTATTTGGGATTTTGAAAACATTGAAATGATTTTCAACTAAAAATTTAAATGGTATTTTAGTAAAAAATTTTATTTGTGATTCAATTTTTGGTCAATAGAATTATTTTTATGTAAAATGTTGGAAATTTTTTTTGTTCTGGAACGTAGATGTTAGATTTTCGGTTTCCTTTCTGTTTCGGTTCTTCAGTAGGAAATGTAAATTTAAAGGACCCTTTCTTATGTATTTCATTTTGTGTATAATTTTCATTTTTGTGTATACGAGACAATGCACCAGTTCACACATCTACAATCGCCATGGCAAAAATTAATGAATTGAAGTTTGAACTGCTTCTTCACGCACCCTATTCACCAGATTTAGCCCCCTCAGATTACTTTCTATTTCCAAACTTGAAAAAATGGCTTGGTGGAAGAAGATTTTTTACAAATGAAGAGGTAGAGTCTGGTGTTGATGGCTATTTTGCAGAGTTTCCCAGTTCTTACTATAAAAATGGTATCGAAGCAATTCAACACTGCTGGGAAAAGGGTTTCGACCTAAAAGGGGACTATGTTGAGAAATAAAAATAAATTCTGCCAAAATTTTTGTGTTTTCTTGATTAGGCTACTTAATTCTGGGACAGCCCTCGTAATTTCCACAAAATTGAAATCTGGACATAGCGAACTAGATTTGAAATCAAAATAAATCCTTAGTTTCAAAAATTTTCATTACTTGCAGTTCCTCAGCAATAGAATTTTACAAATTTTTAATGCTGTTCAAATGATTTTTATTATTGAATTAGAATATTCAATATTTCAGAATTTCCACAAACAAACGAATTTAGTACAGTAGGGCCACGATTATAATAAAAATTAATAGTAATAGTTCGATTTTTTATGGTATAGCTACAACGCAATTTTGAACTGTTACCAATGCATTACAATATGCAGTTTATTAAAATTACTATGCATAATACCGAACCTATTCATTCTATAATTTAGAATCAGTTATTATGAGAGTAATTTTATAGAGATTTACTACGATAACACCATTTCTCATATTCCAAAATATTATTATATTTTATGTAGAAATGTCGATATAGCAAAACATATATATAATAGATTTCTAATAAACGATAATCGGATCGAATAAAATTGTTGCTTTTACGAGAATAAAATGCAAGCTCAATGATTTCAAAAAAAAAGAATAGAAATTTTATAAATTCACAATGTTACTTTTAGTACCCAACCCCATAAACAAGTGAGTGTAAATTTTAAGACGTGTGTTTATGTTTCTTTATTTCATAAAATAATAAAAACGTAACTTGGGCTTAATACTGTATGGACAGCTGTTAATGCTTAAATATTTATTAAGTAAGTAGTCTTAATTTTATATTTTATTTGCATATTCTTATAGTATACATTTAAGAAGTAAAAGGTTTTATATTTTAACATGTAAAATAGATATTGAGTATAAAAAAGAAGATAAATGTCACCAGACAAGTGCATAATTTCAGTAAAAATGGCAGAAAATAACAAAAAAAAATTAGTGTTAAAAATAAACCATTATAATTGTCACTAACCGCTTTAAAAATTACTTATCTTATTAATAGCAATAAATTCTTAAATTATTAACTATAGAAATAAAAAATTTTTTTAATTTATTTTAAATTGGTAAGTTGAAATTTATTAAATCTGATGACAAATGTATATATACGAGTATGTTCATGTATGAGCATTGTATTTTGCATGCAACTCATTTTATTAATCTTAAATATTTTGAAATTACTAAAATGTAATGTTATATTTATATTACATAATGTATGCTTATATAAAATAACATAACAATAATCATACATCATAGACTTTGGACACATTATTTCAAATTAATAAAAACATAAATTTTGAAATTCAATTTTAGTACGTTTTTCAAGAATACAAGAATGACACTGAGAAATTTGCTATTCAATTTACTTTGTATGAAAGTTGCTCTTCGAAAGAATGGTGAGTATTATTACGGAACAGGCTCTCATCTCACTATATTTTTCAGCTATTGATGATTAAAAATACGTAGTCTCCTAATATATATTTTCTCTCTCCTAATATATTTATTTATATCTAATTACTACGAGTAACATTTTAGATGCAAAGTGTTTATGTCAATATGTTCAAGTATAATTGGTGACATTTTCATTTTCCGCTCTCTAATTAATGTAGCGAATCTACTCTTGTTGTGTTTGAAATTCGCTTCTTTTTTAATAATAAAACTAAAAGAGTAAATATCAATATGAGAATAGTGAACTAATCAATTGAATGGATAATTTAGGGGGATAAGTAGGTACTACACGGGCCTTACTATTTGATTTGATTTTCATGAATCGTCGTTTTCGAAAAAATGATAAGGTAATATCAAACAATTTGTATGTTATCACCTTTTCATTTCTGCAAATACGAGATCCCAGTTCTACATTATATGAATTTGATCGCAAATTCTATTGAATGAAAACAATTATATTAAATGTAGTTATATATGAAATGTATAGGCTTGATACAGAAATTTTAATGGAAAAATGGCATTAACTCCTAGTAGGTTGCAATGATGTACAATTATTTTTGAGTTTCGCTCCCATTATAACATTAGGGTCAGTTTTATATGAAAAATTTTGGCTTCTATAATAAGGTGGTTAAAAAAAAGTCCTTTTTGTGATCCCTTTATTAAACACTAACTTGTATTCTTTTTTTACATCTTGTTATTTTGTTTGATGACAAAAACATTAAAATTTAATTTTAATTATCAATAACATTTATTTAACAAAAAAAAAATCTCTTAATGTCTAAATTTATTACATTATTAAAAACATTTACATAATTTGTATATATATATATAATGTATATGTATGTTTGTATTAAAAAGCAAAAAACAAATATAAATACTTACATCAATAAAATGAGGCCTTAATCTTCCAACTGAATATTTTGCAATATCTACAACTAATTGCTGTGAACCGGCACCAAATGCAAATATACCAACTTGTTTATAGGATTCAACAATCCATGATGGTAAATCAAAGTCCATAAATCTATAAGTTGGCATTGATTTGTTTTTACCATGAAAATATTCCATAGGTACAATCTGCAAAAATAAAAAAAAAAGACAAGAAAATTATAAGTGTCACATAATTATGTAAAAATATTTTATAAGGTGGGTAAAATGTTAAGGTAAAAATAATAATGTGTGTGTGTTTGAAGCAAAACTATTTTAAGGTATGAAATATTATTTAATTATAATCCTAAGCTTATTGATGATGTCAAATTGATGAAGACTTTAATACAGGAGAGAAATTATTTTTTAATAACTTAAGGTGGTGACGGAACTTGAATATTTCGAAGTCATTATGTATGACGTCTAAATTACTTAACTATAATTATTCTTATAAACAAGATTTTGTAGTCTTGTAATGACTATGCACTAGTAATTTTGTGTTATTTTTAATTTATAAATTATTTTATTGAAAAATAAATTTTTTGAGAATCAATTATTAGTTGCATTGATTGTAAGGACTATTCTGTTGGAAATGATCGTAAAACTTGGCATTTTATTATGAATTTTACTAATACAACATCATAATTGTGAAATTAATAAGTAATGTGCTTATTACACTAATAATTTAACTTAATGGAAATTTCTTCATGCAACTGCAGAACAGATAGATGACGTAATCAAAGGAACGAGTTAAAGGCAGAAAAATTAATTAAAAAATTTTGCTCCTCGAACTGGACTCGAACCAGTGACCTACCGCTTTCTAGGCTGCAGTTGATCCATCTATTCTGCAGTTGCATGAATAATTCTTTAACTGGCATACGAACATTTCAAAATTTTTGAGAAGAAAACAAAATTAATATATTTGTTGAGGCCTATAAGACTTACTAGGCTTGAACACTCCCTGGAAAGCGTAGGAAAACCAACATATTTGTTAATATTTACGATTATTTTTTCGAGGTCTTTCGATTTCGTTTGGATTACGTTCGATAAATTGAAATTCGAAGCAACCAGATTGATTCAGGATATCGAATACTATTTAAATATTAAAACATTGAAACCTATTGAAAAATTTTAACTTGTATAAATATTATATAGACAGTGGTTTGTGACTCAACGAATAAAATATTGTTGAAGAAATCGATCAATGTCATACTCATACATCTCTTTACACACACATTATTTGTTTATATTTCAAAAAAAAAAATTTGGTAGTTTTTGAGTGGAGACACCAAATTACAATTTTCATTTAGTTTCCGGAAAGTAATTATTCAACTATATGAGCTCGATAGAGATTAATTAACAACACATGAAAACTTTATTATTATTAAAAAAATTTTTTGTTGCCTTGCATATCTTTATTCGTTTGGATCTTTTTGATTGAAAGTTGCCGTTCATTCTGCACAAAATCTCCAAAGTATCGAAGAAGAATAATTTTTTTACCGCTTTCTGAGTTTTTTAATGAATTTTTTTTCCACCAAAACATCTTTTCATCAATGATATATAATTTTAACTCCAATATTTTTGAAATATTCTTAAAATAACACTTTTCTAAATTGGTTTTAATTAATTATTTCCCTTAGAAGAAAAAAAATGTTTTCTTAAAAAAACGTGCTTTAATTTTTTTTATCAAGAGAAAAAATCAAAGTTCTCACATTAAAATATTAAATAATGAATTCCCCCCCCCCTTTTAAATCTTAACTGTTTTGTATAATTTTCTCCCAAAACACACAAAAATAATGCGTTCATACCTCTCCCACCCAAATGTACATTTCATACATATAGAAAAGTGCAATGAACCATTTTATTATTTTGTCGGCTGTTCCCCAGTCCATTTTTCCCGTCAAACATAAAAACGATATCGTATATTGTGAAACTATAATGTTATATAATGATTAATGTCAACATTATTTTTCTGGTTTTTTCAAATAAAGGGAAATAGTAAAAAAAATCAAGTCGAACCATTCCCCCTCCGTTTTTTTTTATTTATTTTATAAAAAAGCATACAATTAAATATACGGAAACCTACAAAAATAAAAAAACCAATTTTTCTTCCTAACACCACTTAAATATAACAACTTCTTAAATCATAATTATTATAACACGCACACTTCTCCCATTAAAAAGTCATCAATCTATAAAAATTTTCCTTTTTGATTTCATGAAAATATCCACAAACCTCACTTGACTGTCACGTTACAATAATCTATAATGACAAAGAAGAAAGGCAAGGCAAAATCTAATCATCATATTGAAAACTGAACAGTCCATACCGGTATGTTTGACGCTCAACTTGAATATCAAATCAAAGATTATTATTGTTTGTCTTAACAATTTGTTCTTTTGTCTCAAATGGAATAAACAAATAATAAATAAGAGGGAAAAAACACAAAAGAATTAAAAAAAAAATGTTTACTTTTCTATTTTTGAGCCTAAAACAAAAAAAAATTCCCAAAACATTCCGAAATTGTTTTTTTTTTTATTTTTCGTGATAAAAATTAATAGACAAATCAAAATTTTTTTTTAAACAAACGTTTGAGATGTGATGAACAATCATGTAACAAAATCATGCCGAAATCTAAACGAAATGAGCATAATTTGATTCAACAGTCAACAGTATCACAGCGTTTCTTCTAACAGAAATTTAATACTTAAAGCTGTCCCGGAGTATTTTGTAATAGTTTGTAAATTAAACATTGTCCTGCTTGAAAACCCCTTAGTATTGCAGTTAAACTAAGCATTAAATTTAAATGTTTAAAATTAAATATTTATTTTCCATATAAAAATTCGAAGCCATCTGCTGGAATAAAGTTATATGCAAATATTCCTGCCACCGACCTCATCATTAAAGGTCGTGTTATATTATACATTTAGTTTTTAACCAACTATTACATAAAAATGGAATGCATTTTATAAAAGTTACAATTACAAATTTTGGTTATTTTTAGACATTTTCCTGTCTGTCTCACACTTGAGAACTTTAACCCCTTAGAAGAGTTCTTGAACTTGAAATGTTCCCTAAATATTAGTCATATTTTTTCTCGAACCGATACTACATTCATTTTTAAAAATTGCTAAGCTGCACTCGTTCGCCTTTATAATTTTTGCTTTAATATCAAATATTCAAAATTGTAAAACTAAAATATTTAAATTATTTTTTTTTTCTTTTTTAATATCTTTAATGTCCTTCTGTATCTCTTATATTTTGCACGCGATTACAATCATTTTCTTATGAGTAATTTTGTTTGACCTTGCATGAATAATTTTTTAAATAAAGATGAATTGCAATGTTATAGAAAATGCTACTGAATATACTCATATCTTTCGCAGTTCTACTCAGTTCTTATTTTCTTGAGCACTAGATGTATAAAACAAGAACGTGTAACATTATGATAAATTTTAGATATTTCACCCCAATTCAATTTTTAATAAAATTTTTACAAAATTGGGTAAAAAAATGTGTCCATGTGTTACAGTTATGTTCGTCCTTTCGTTCATTCGTGTGCTCCTTTTAATAAAATTAAAATATATATTTCACTAGAAGAAAATTATTCATATTATTGCCAGCCTCTTCAAAAATTATGACCAAGGTTGTTAAAACGTGATTTTTCGACAATATGCCTTCTCCATCCCAAAATTAGCAATATTTTAAAATTTCATATCATTTACGATATACAACGGTATACGGTTAAACTACAATGGCGTATGTACGGTTAAAATAAATGAAAAGAAAATCTTGTCAGAAAATCTGACAGTGCTTTAAATTACCTGTAACCAATAACATTGATTGAAGTTCGACATCAATTTATACGATTTCTTTTAAGTTTGCTCTCATCCTGGAGGTATGCAATTATTATGACAGTATATTTTAATATGATGATTAATTCGGAGCTAGGCAAATACTGAAATCACTTTTCAAAAATGTGCTACTTTATAAGCCATTGATTTGAATCGAATTTATTATAAATTATATACTGTAAAATGCTTTAGAAAATTAAAGAAAAGGTAACACGTATATCAAATATGATTTATTGCACAAGATTAATTGATTTATTGTGAGAGAGTTATTTATGAAGATTAAAAAAAAAAAAACTAAAATAAAATTCTTGAAACTGAAATTTTTTTTTTTATAAAAATTTCGAATATTTTTCAATCGCTTACATTCTTTAGTTATGGAACCGTTTAAGTTTCTGTGTGAACTTCCCTGTTTTTTTGTTTTTTATAAATTGCTTATAATATTATCTTTATTTTGAGATAGTTAACTACCGTTTTTCAGGCTATATAAATTTTCTTTAATAATATTATGAGTACATAGAATCAATGATAATGTTCTGAAAATTTTCCACCTGCTTGCATATAAGAATAGATGAAGCATAACTATGATGAATGATAAATAATCGATAAATGTTAAATTTTATTAAGTTATTAAGGTATTAAATTACATAAAAGATTAGTTTAAAGATTAATATCTTAATAAATTTTCAGAAAATTTATTCAAAAGTTCGAAAACTAAAAAAAAAAAAATAAATATTTTTAGAGAAATTTAATCCGTTTTTATGGCAATATCGTGGAATTATGCAGTAGAACGTAGGGATTATATGCCATAATAATGAAATTTATTATGTGAAGTGATTTATGATTTAATTTTTTTTTTCGAGATATAAAGGAAGAATTGTTTGTATTATAAAAATTAGTATTGAAAAAAAGAAACAAAATCAGAAAGAAGAATATGAAATTGAATAACTGACACTCTAGTGCATATCCAGTAATAGGATTTATTCCAAAATCAAATTGTTTAAGCGCAAAAGGTCTTATTAACTGTATAAGCAAATTTCATTGCACTCTTTTAGAAGACGTTGGTCCGCCAACATGAGTGCGCTTCGAGAAAAAATAATTTTTTAAATATTTCATTCATAATATATTCTAGTACATAATTTATTCCAGTACCTGTACCAGGTTTGTGAATTGCAGTGGTATTTTGAATTTAAATTGTAGAATTAAGAATCTGTCGTTGATTTCATATCACATAATTCATTCACTTTCAATATTAAGGATACCAATAATGAATATCTTTGAAAATTTTAACTCGAATG